AAAAAAGCCGAGGTCGATATAATCGTATGAGGTGGTTGAGAGTGAACTCCAACCCCTCGGCCTTGCTAGAAAAAAAGTAGAGCATGATCACTATACGCCAGAATGAAGGGTGAACCTAGCCGAGGGTGACCTGGTACCTCTTGCAAAAGTCGACAATGACTGGGTCGAGAGGACCCAATGTGAAGGGGTAAGTGTAGACACTTAGAAACCCCTCCACATAGGTGGTAATGCTCTCTTCAGGAGCAGGGATTTGCACCACGACCTCGACCCCCTAGTTATATTCTCTCTCCAGAGCCTCGAGATGGACCGCCGTTATCGAGCAGATATATCTTGGCACGTGTTCACATCGATGGAGGGTTCTCGACTTTGAAGTCGGATTTTAAGACACAAGGGCCGGGAACATACTCGTGAGGGAGCGGTTCCACCAGCGTTTTATCACCGGCCGGCCGGGAAGAAGAGGAAGAAGCTTTCTCCTTTTGAGGGATGGTCTTGGAGGTTTTCGCCATTGATTCAGGTAGAATGAAGCGGAAAGAGGTGAAACTTGGTATTTTTGGTTCTAACCAAGTTGACTCAATGGGCGGTGAAACAGAAGAGATGGAGAGAGTAAGAAACTTAGAAAACTTGGTGGAGGTGAAAGTAAAATTTTGATTCAACCAAAGAGCCTGTATTTATAGGTTCATGGCGACAGTTCGGTTGTGCTAGTGGCCGACCGTCCACTGGCAAGCATTAAAGGGTTAGGTAACTGTACTGACGGGACATTTCGGTCACCTCAATCGCTTACGTCATGGGGATGATATCATTATCAGGGTCTCCAGAAAATTGAGGCTCAAGTCATTTCTTATCGTTTTATCTAAGAAACGAGGGGACTATTTGTATACGGTAGAAATAGGGGCTACCTGATTTCATTATCTGGTCAAGATAGGAATGTCACATCAAAGAGCTAGGACGTCGAGTCCAAATCGAGGTCGACATCGATTGCAGCCAGAAAAAGGCAGACTTCGAGTGGCATCGGCATAGCTTGATAACGGAAAAGGCGAGATATCCGCGATTAGTCAAGGATCATGGCGTGAATCTCGGAATGAATCAATCTACAACGGTTAACTAGATGTTAATATGGTTTACTAACCATAATTAGAAGTGTACCTTATTTAGGACTCCTCTATTATATAAAGAGAGATCACATTCATTTGTAAGGGCATCAATGTTTACTGATAAGAATATATAAACTCATTACTTTCCTGCTATTTCACTTATTGTTCATCAGAGTTGCTTTATCATTTACTATTCTTGCCATCCCACCTCGAGACTACCCCAAGTCGAGGTCGAGACCTAGCTAGCACATTGGTTTGATTTATTTTATTTTCTAATTTATTCATTTATTTTCTTGCTTATCAATTGGTATTGGACGAAATCACATATCCTTAAAACCACAATATAAGTTTAATTGTTATTCGAATTTGAGGGTAGACATACTTTAAATACATTGTTTGTTTTGATTGTTACTTAAATTTTATTTTATCGTATCGTTAAATTCATCGTTACTTAACGACGAAAAGTACCACTATATGAAACGATGGATTTGTGTGGTGGCGTCATTTTCTTGCTTTTTTTCCCTCTCATCTTGCCCTTCCTTATTATTAAATAATTATATTTTATTATTTATCCTACTTTTTATATAATAATTCTACTCCGTATCCTATTTTTCTTAGTAATATTGCATTTTTTTGGTAATTAATTTTATTATTACCAGGGAAAATATTTACATGTATAGTAAAAACCCTATCAACTACCCACTTAGGTTTGGACATGCAGCCCCAAACCTATTATCCTCAAAACTACGTAACACCAGATCTAGCTATATACAAGCTAAGGGTAAAAATTTAACTCTTGAAATCTTCTAGCTAGACTAGGACTCTAACTTCCTCGACAATGGATCTCTTGGATTATCGCTTTGACCAGCTCGTCACTTCTCCTTTGTTGCCCGCGAAAAGTTCACCAATTCCTTTCTTGCCGAATATAGTACACAGTGCAAGTTAGAGGCATCCTATATATTGTTGTTGATGGTTGCTTACCTGTTGCATGTTTTGTAGCCCATTGTATCTCTTCATTCAACCCATTCACATCTCTTTTGACACCAAACCAGTATAATAATTTTCTCCATACTGCTATTGAGTATTTTCATCTAAAGAAGAGGTGATCATGATCCTCTGTAACTCCTTCACATAGTGAACATGATGGGCTGACTAACATTCCCCAGTTGATGAGCATGCCTCTTGTGTATAGCCTGCCAAGGATTGCCAGATAGAATATGAAGGTCATTTAGGACTGCTGATGTTGTTGCAAATTAGTCTCTTCCATTCAACTTTAGGGAACTCTCCTCTGAGCTTATTATACATGTTTCTTATGGAGTAATTCCTCGCGCTCCTCCACTCCTATATTTGCTTCATTCAAATATTTTGTAGCTCCTAAAATTTCCGAGTGAGCCAAGAAGCTTGCTTCACATTTACATTCCATATCACATGTTATTTTATATAGTATGTATGCATCCACTGTATCTACAAACGATCCTTCTTCTTATTCAAATTTCACAGTTGCTTAATTATTGCAGCTCTTTTCCACGCGAGGATGTCAGTTATGTTCAAACCACCTGCAGATTTTGGCCAGCACAATTGTTTCCGGGCCACTAAAGCTTTGGGTCTACCTTCTGCTTCACCTGTCCAGAGGAACCTTTTGCAAATTGTCTCAATCCCTAGAATAATCTTCTTTGGAAGGGGAAAGATTTGCGACCAAATGGATTGGATAGCAATCAAAACACTTTTGATCAATTGTAACCTTCCTGCATATGATAGAAACTTTGTTGTCCAATGTTTTACTCTAATTAGCATCTTATCCAGTAGGGGATGACACTGAGCTATAGATAATCTCTTGGTACTTAATGGAACCCTCCAAGTATCTGAAAGGTAATGTGCCTGTGCAGAAGCCTAGGCATTGAGTAATCTATTGCTGAATTTCCTCTGAAACCCCTCCAAAGTAGATACAACTCTTGTCTTGGTTTGCAATCAATCCTGAGGATTTAGAAAAATGCTCAAAACACTCATATAGCAGTTGGATGGACACCTCATCCTCTACAAAATAGCAACAAATCATCTGCAAAACTGAGTTGTACTATGTTCAGCTCTCACATCAGGGGTGATAGTTAAAATCAGGTCTATCCTTGAGAGTCTTTAAGATTCTGGTCAAGTATTCCATGGCCAGAACAAAAAAATAAGACGACAGTGGATCCCCTTGTCTAACTCCTCTTTTGGCATCAAAATGAGCTGTTGGCTTACCATTTATAACGATAGAGTAGGACGCTGTAGTAACACATGTCATGATCCATGAAAGAAACTTCTCTGGTATATTCAGTTCTGTGAGCACATGTTCAAGAAACTTCTACTCTACAGAGTCATATGAATTTTACATATCAATCTTGACCATACACCTAGGTGATACACCTTTCCTTCCATATCCTTTTACAAGTTCATGTCCCAGTAGAATATTATCATTCAGCATTCTACCTGGTACAAATGCTACTTGACTCATGTCTATTAAGGTTCCCATCACTAGTTGCAACCTGTTTGTGATCATCTTTGAGATAATTTTGTATATAATAGTGCATCATGATATTGGTCTATACTACTTGATGGAAGAAGGGTTCTTCACTTTGGGAATCAAGGTAATTAATGTACTGTTTATTGGCTTGTACATGGAACCTTCATTAAAGAACTTCAATACAGCCTGTGTAACATCCTCACCAATTATGTGCCATGCCTTCTTATAGAAGTGTGCATTAAAACCATCCCCTCTTGGGGCCTTAGAATCTCCTATTCCTTGTAATGCTTGCACCACATCATCTTTAGTGAAAGGAGATATAAGTTGTAAGTGCTGGAATCTTGTAAGTCCTGGACCTTTCCTCATTATACTAGGATTAATAGCAGGTATGCTATTAGTTGACATTCCTAGTAATCCTCTGTAAAAGCTCACTACTTCTTGCTTAATGCCTTCTGGTGTTTTGATCAATCTGCCATCATCAGTTGTGAGCATTATGATTTGGTTCTGTGTTGTTCTTCCTTTCATACTAGCAAAGAAGAAGGCTGTGTTGGAATCACCCAATACTGGCAAGTTTATTTTTCATATTGTCAGTGTATGATATTATGAAATGACGACAAACAATACAAGCTATCCAAACGTTGTGTTCATCAAACAATACAATACTATATAATACGATACAGTATGAAATGACATGTAATAACCAAACATGTTGTAAGAATCTTTTTTGATCTCATGCAGTGAGAAGAGTAATATGCTTCTTACCAAAAAAAAAAAAACTCTCTATTCTTAAAGTTGGAATTCAAAGTTTCTAATATAAAGGGGATAAATTATAAGGATTCCATGTAAAAATAAAAATCATGCAGCCAACTTAATTGATTGGTCATACATAGTTCAACTTTCAAGTTGGAGAAAGAGGATTTAACCACATTATCGTCCTGATGAAAATTTATTCGCACCTACTGTTTATACTAAATTATATTAATTTTTTATAATTATATATTTTTATAAGATAGAAATATATAATTAACCACGATTAATTAAGATTCTTCCAAATTATTCGCACCTACTAATACTATTTATACCATGCATCTAGGATGTTGGAAGGTTTTTACAGCACTACCCAGGTAGACATTGACGGGGGTGATGCATATTTATTGACCGGCATGGTCTCCATCTCTTTCACCAGAGTGTAATGTAGACCAGACCCCACCATCACTGTCTTCAACTGACCCCACATCAACCAAAAATTTAAAAAAATAAAATTTTGAAAATGATTTTCAGACAAGAACAAAAACGAAAACAGTTGAGCAAAGAATTTAATGGAAATGAACGTACAAGGAAGCACAAAAACAAAGAAAAAAAGAGTTACTACTACTAAGTTCATAGAAAATTGAGAAAATTAGAAAAAAACAGCAGCAACGCGTTTTCTCTCTCTCTCTCTCTATCTTAAGTCTTTTCTCTCTCCTCTTCTTGACCCTCTCTTTCTCTCTCTTTCTTCTCCCTGTTCACAAAGAAGCAAGCAGCCCAAAAGATTAGGGTTAGGGCTAGGGTTTTTGGTTAAAAAACCCCATTTTTGGTTCAAATCAAGAAAGGGATTTAGGAATCTATTTTTGCATTTTTGAGGACCCTTTTGGGTTTTTAGTAATGGGTCGTTGTTGTTTTGTCATCAAATGGTACAATTTTCACAAACCCTTGAAGTATTTTTTCATCTTTTGTGCTTTTTTCTTAGCTCATGTGTATGCAGACTCCTCAGATTCAGATAAATCAGCTCTCTTGGAGTTAAAGACTTCACTTTTAGACCCTTCTGGAGTGATTTCTAGCTGGAGCTTGAACAATACTGATGATCACTGTTCATGGTTTGGTGTTTCATGTGATTCCAATTCACGTGTTGTGGCTTTGAACATCAGTGGAGGTAATTTGGTTTCTTTGTCTTGTGCTAAAATTGCTCAATTTCCTTTGTATGGCTTTGGTATTAGAAGGCTTTGTGCTAATAATAGTGTTAAGCTTGTTGGTAAAGTGCCTAAGGCAATATCAAGATTGACTGAACTGAAGGTTTTGTCTTTGCCTTTTAATGAATTGGGTGGTGAAATCCCCTTTGGAATTTGGGATATGGAGAATCTTGAAGTTTTGGATCTGGAAGGGAATTTAATTAAAGGGTCTTTGCCATTTAAGTTTAAGGGGTTGAGGAAATTGAGGGTTCTGAACTTGGGTTTTAATGAGATTGTGGGTGGCATTCCTGATTCCTTGTCAAATTGTTCTGCTCTGCAAATCCTGAATCTCTCTGGAAATAGAGTAAACGGTTCCATTCCGGCGCTCATTGGTGGATTTGGAGATTTGAGGGGAGTGTACCTGTCGTTTAATCAGCTTAGTGGGTCTATTCCTGGTGAGATTGGACGTTCGTGTGAGAAGCTTGAGAATCTAGAGATGGCGGGTAATTTCTTAAGTGAGGGTATTCCTAAAAGTTTAGGGAACTGCAGAGGGTTACAGTCACTTGTCTTGTATTCAAATTTGTTGGAAGAGGGTATTCCAGCTGAACTTGGTCGACTAACTGAGCTCAAGGTTCTTGACGTGTCCAGGAACAGCCTAAGTGGACCAATACCGTCTGAGCTAGGAAACTGCTCGAAATTATCCATTCTCGTGCTGTCAAATTTGTGGGATCCTCTTCCAAACGTGTCTGATTCAGCAATTGACGCTTCTGCAAAATTGGCATTCACTACTGATGAGTACAACTTCTTTGAAGGCACAATCCCGTCACAGATAACCGGGCTTCCTAGTTTGAGGATGATTTGGGCTCCTAGGTCAACTCTTTCGGGAAAAATTCCTGGTAGTTGGGGTGCTTGTGACAGTTTAGAGATGGTGAATTTGGCTCAAAATTTTTATACTGGAGAGATCTCTGAGGAATTGGGTAGCTGCCAGAAGCTGCATTTTCTTGACTTGAGCTCAAATAGGTTGACTGGACAGCTTGTTGAGAAACTACCAGTTCCTTGTATGTCTGTGTTCGATGTGAGTGAGAATTATCTCTCTGGTTCACTTCCCAGGTTTTCCAATTACAGTTGTGCTCATGTTGCGTCCAGCGGTAGTGATCCATCATCTGCATATCTAGCTCACTTCACCAGTAGAAGTGTGCTTGACACCAATTTGTTATTTGGAGATGATGCTGGCTGTGCAGTATTTCATAATTTCGGTGGTAACAACTTCACTGGAAATTTACCGCCTTCCGTGCTCATTGCACCTGAAATGTTAGGCAAGCAAACTGTTTATGCATTTCTTGCTGGTGGTAACAGGTTTACTGGACCTTTTCCTGGTAACTTGTTCGAGAAATGTCATGAATTGAAAGGTATGATTGTTAATGTAAGCAATAATGCATTGTCTGGCCAAATTCCAGAGGATCTTGGTGCAATTTGTGGGTCTCTTAAGCTGTTGGATGGCTCCAAAAACCAGATTGGTGGGACGATTCCTCCGAGTATAGGGAGTCTGGTTTCTTTGGTCGCTCTCAATTTAAGTTGGAACCTCTTGCAAGGCCAGATTCCAAGCAGTCTTGGCCAGATAAAGGATCTCAGTTGCCTCTCTTTGGCTGGCAATAATTTGGTTGGCTCCATCCCCTCAAGTTTTGGGCAATTGCACTCTTTACAAGCGCTTGAACTTTCTTCGAATTCGTTGTCTGGTGAAATTCCAAACAATCTTGTGAATTTGAGGAATTTGACTGCCCTTCTTCTTAACAATAATAATTTATCAGGGAAAATACCTTCAGGCTTGGCTAATGTGACCACACTGGCAGCGTTTAATGTGTCTTTCAATAATCTATCTGGGCCACTACCTCTTAATAGAGATTTGATGAAATGCAATAGTGTTCAGGGCAACCCCTTTCTGCAATCTTGCCATGTATTTTCTCTATCAACACCTTCTACAGATCAGCAGGGCAGAATAGGGGGCTCACAAGATTCTGCTGCGTCTCCTCCGTCAACTCCAACCCAAAAAGGAGGAAGTGGTGGTGGTTTCAACTCAATAGAGATAGCATCCATAACATCTGCTGCAGCTATTGTGTCAGTTCTTCTTGCTTTGATAGTCCTCTTCTTTTACACCAGAAAATGGAATCCAAGATCTAGAGTTGCTGGATCTACCAGGAAAGAGGTAACAGTTTTTACAGAAGTTGCGGTTCCTTTGACGTTTGAGAATGTCGTGCGGGCCACAGGGAGCTTCAATGCTAGCAATTGCATAGGCAGTGGAGGTTTTGGAGCAACATACAAAGCGGAGATTGCACCAGGGTTCCTAGTGGCAGTAAAGCGACTTGCTGTAGGACGTTTTCAAGGGATCCAACAGTTTGATGCAGAAATCAGAACTTTGGGGAGGCTTAGACATCCAAACCTCGTAACTCTGATTGGATATCACAATAGTGAAACAGAAATGTTTCTAATCTATAACTATTTACCAGGCGGTAATTTGGAAAAGTTTATTCAGGACAGGTCAACAAGGGCTGTGGATTGGAGGGTACTTCACAAGATTGCTTTGGACATTGCCCGTGCACTTGCTTACCTGCATGATCAGTGTGTACCGCGTGTGCTTCATCGTGATGTAAAGCCAAGCAACATCCTATTGGATGAGGACTATACTGCATATTTATCTGATTTTGGTTTGGCTAGATTACTGGGAACTTCAGAGACCCATGCCACTACTGGTGTGGCTGGAACTTTCGGGTATGTTGCTCCTGAATATGCCATGACTTGTCGTGTCTCAGACAAGGCTGATGTCTACAGTTATGGGGTTGTGTTGCTTGAGTTAATATCAGACAAGAAAGCACTTGATCCATCTTTCTCTTCTTATGGAAATGGATTCAATATTGTTGCTTGGGCGTGCATGCTTTTACGCCAGGGCCGTGCAAAGGAGTTCTTTACTGCTGGTCTATGGGATTCAGGTCCACATGATGATTTGGTTGAGGTACTACATTTGGCCGTGGTCTGCACAGTTGACTCGCTTTCTACTAGACCTACAATGAAGCAAGTAGTAAGACGGTTGAAGCAACTTCAACCCCCATCTTGTTAGCTAGCTGCATGTGAATAGGATGTTTAGACCAATTGTAATTTAACTCTTGCACTTTGATAGATACTAAAGTGTATTTGGGTGTCTCCTATTAGGTTCAGATTTGAAATTTTGTAGCCTGCTTGTGAATTTGTAGTATATAGCCTTTGCCCCCAATTTTTCCATGTCATGTCCCTAATTTAGGGGGTGTGCAGATTCATCTGCAGAAGAGTGCAGATACTTGTCTTCAACACTGTATGCATGTATCACATTTTTATTTGTTTGTTAAATAAGAGCAACAAAATAGGGAGGATTCTGCTAGCCTCTTCTTTAGATTTTTTTTATTTTTTTAGAGCAAATGAAAAGCTTTAGTGGGGTAAACCTGCTACTGTACATGTAAAACTTATAAAAAGCTGAATTTTGTTTGAATTTTTCGGGAGAAATTCAAAAATAGCCAGATTTACAAGTGGTCATTCAAAAATAGCCACAGTTTCAAAAGTAATCGAAATTTAGCCACTTTTCATGTAAAGATAAATCTGAACGAAAATACTGTTCAAAATCCGGAAAAATATTATACTGGAGTTCCAGTATAATATACTGGTCCAGCATAATATAGTACTCCAATCTCCAGTATATTATACTAGAACTTTCCGCGTGTTGGAGTTCCAGCATAATATGCTGGAAGTTCACACACAGGTGCACCGATCTCCAGTATATTATGCTGGAACTTTCCGTGTTGCAGCAAAATAGTGCCTATTTTTCAATGACTTTGCAAACACTGACTATTTTTGAATGACCAGTCCGAAAACTAGCTAGCCCATGCTATTTTTAAGAATTTTTCTGGTCATGAAATTTGAGTCCATCAGTGTCTTTAACAGCATTGTGGTGAATTTCTTCTCAGAAAACAGTTCCAATTCCCAGAATATAGCAAGAGGCAAAATTTGAATAAAATATAATTTGGATAAAACTACTACTCTTAAAGAAAGAAAATTACCTTTTCTTAGGGGTTTGTTTGGTTGCTGAGGTTAGAAAATAAACGGTATAAAATTCAGTACTATTATTTTATATCACGTTTGGTTGGCGCATTTCCTTAACTAATCTAACATGTGTGAGATAAACATATCAACCTTTGACAGACTGGTCTGCATTGAATTGTTATTATTAACAATAACAAATATAAAAAAAATTATAAGGCTCCTAATATAAGTAAGACTCTAACCAAGTAACTTCTTCGAGAGATTATCAGCTAGAACAGATAGCATGCTGTGATGCCAAAGGCTCAAAAGTCAACACTCCATCTCTTCATTTCATTTATTTTCTTCTTCTTCTTCTTCTTCCTGTCTGTATTCCAAAATAATAATTTCATGTTTAATCATTCATAAAGCTTGCAGTTTTTTGTAAACTTCAAAGATAACAAATGAATATATGATTGATCACTATATTGGCTACAACTCTTTTGCTTTCAATTGAAAAAGAATGTATTTGTACAACAAAAAAGAAAGAAGACTATAACATACTTAATCACAGATGTAATATAACAAATCAAAGAAAATAATATAACTGATGACCAGATGCATGCAAGGGAATAATGCTACCCTGTGACACAAATTAATTTAATTTGAAAGTAACAAATTAGAAGTACACTGAGATAAATTTTTAAAAAATATTGACTGCAAGACAGCCTCAACATTGATAACATCTTATGTATCCAATTCCTACAATGTACAAAACGCTATAATTAACTAAGTATAAAGCACATATTCAGGAAAAACTTGGTTCTATATTTTGCACCTCTCGAGATAGACAAGAGAACTTGTAGAACTCAGGATCCTTGAAAATGAGATTCTCCAAAATTTGCCCGAGGCGGATGCACTATATATTTGAAGGGTTCAACTAAACCAATCATTTGTTTCACAGAGTATAGATGTGTATGTGAAAAATCATTGAAGTGCCAACAAGTATTAAACTCTCAATCCATAAGTTTAAAAGTGCAACGGGTTCAACGTAAGAACTTCAAAATGTTGAGCCCATCAAGTTCAAATCTTGGATCTGCCTCTATATTTTGCCCCCACACTGCACTATAGAGATGACAAGAACCATGTCTTATTTGCAGAACACTTTTTGTCTTGGTAGCCTACTACCAAGCTAGCCTTTTGATGTCTAAACTCAATCACCATTGCCAGAATCAAGTTATCTGATGCTGCAAAACCTATTTTGGGCATTTGCACAGTGGGAGAGTACAGTTATAGGAAGAAATGGGTGTCAAGCTCCTAGCTGCGATTGGACAGATCATATCAACTTCCTGAAACACGTATCAAGCACCAGCCCCGTTACTTAGTGTAGGGTCATCTTGATGTTCATGGCTTCCAGTTCAGCCACTATATATTTGAACATGTAAATTTCAACAGCCTCCAATTCCCTAACTTGTCTCGCAAGCACGACAAGTTACCTCTTTGGGTTCTCTAGCAGGTGGCAGACCAACAATATCTTGCACAGCTTATTTTGGTGATCGGGTTACTGATGCTGTTAGGATACTTCCACATTCAGAAAACACATCTGCAATGCGATGACCAGAGCTTGTATGGAGTCTATCATGCAATAAATATGCTGCTCCATGAGCAAGGAGTGAGTCTCGTTTCATTTCTTCAAAAATCAGTTACCTCCACCACGCTTTCCCCCCTTGATGGGACCGGACCTGTAATGAGAGACACGTCAATTTCAGTTTCCAACTCTATATCTGAAGAGATTAATATGGATTGAGGATATGTAAAAAAGAGAAAAAATCTAGAGCTGGCTAAACTTTTATTTCCGTCAGTTCTAAATGGTTTGCCCCATATGTTCTCCTGATTCTCATACAGTCAAACCTCTCTATAACAGCCTCGTTTGTTCCGGATATTTTTGGATGTTATAGCGAATTGTTGTTATAGAAAACATATATTATAATATAACATGAGATTTGGTTCCGAAAAAATTTGGATTTTATAGAGAAGTGATGTTATATAAGGATGCTGTTATAGAGAGGTCAGACTGTAATTGATATCCTACTAACATCCAGTATAATATTGCAAAGCAAGATTGAGAAGGCATAAATTTGAGGGGTGGGGTCGGGGCGGGGGAGAGTAAACCTAAGTTACATGCCATTGCAAGATCAATAGGAGAAAGAAATGAAGTCAATGAGCTACCTAAAAGTAAAAAGTAGGTTCTCAATCAATTTAGGGATATCTCGACCCTGAGTTTATCACAGAGTTGGGGAAGATAGTTTAATCAGTCACTCTCCTTAACAGTTGTTAGCTAAGTACCAAGAGGATGTTGTTCAGACATCCACTTGATTCCGACTAATAACTCCCAAATCCATTCTCAAGCATAGGAATTAAAAACTTGCCATTATGAATTACAGCAAAGAGAATAAGGAAAGTAACTTAAGTACCCTTCCCATGCTTCTCCTTCCCTCGACTAACCAGGTGAAAATCTATATAATACACTTGAAGATACTGGATTTTAGCCCCAATTACAATTACAAAGATGGAAAATGTAGAAAAGTTAAGAGCACAGAAACAAAGCAAAGTGGATTAGAAACCCTGAGAAGTAACAACACACATGTATCTTCTCAAAGTCGAATATATCCTGGAATCAATCACCTTATGTAGATGTGTTTCGTTTTTCACAACGACAACGACAACGACATAATCAACAGCAGGAGGTTCTGAACCCTTCAACTTCGTATTAGTTGTCTGACTGGTTATTTCATTGTAAATGCTACAATATGGCTTTGGATTTATCCTCTGTAATCAACTGATCATGTTAGTTCAGGACCAACATAACCCACCAAAAAGTAGAAGACGACATCCTGTTACCTGTGGACCAACATAACCCACCAAAAAGTAGAAAACTGCGGGCCAACATAACCCACCAAAAAGTAGAAAAGAAGAAGACATCCTGTTACCTGCGCCACATATGGAAGCCCATAAGAATCAATCAGCCGATGACACAACTTATCCAAATTGCTTCTTCTAAACAATCTCAGAGCATGATCAGATTCAGTGCCCACATATGGAAGCCCATAAGAATCAATCAGCCGATGACACAACTTATCCAAATTGCTTCTTCTAAACAATCTCAGAGCATGATCAGATTCAGTGCTTTGCTCAGTCAAGTCAAACAAGTTCAATCATGCTAAACTGTAGTTCCTCACTAGAATCCAAGTCTTGCACTTCCATTATATAGATAATACAACTGGATTGTGATAATACTGGGTATGTTGTTGTTGTTGTAAATTGGATTGTAACGGCAGACTGATCCTCTCTTACACATCTGAAGTCCAAACAAAATGGATTAATACTGTGCCGAAATATCTGTGTAGCTCAACAAATAAAGAAGAACCAAATTAGTATCATATAAAAGATGGGAAAAACATTTAGCCTTTTCTTGTGTCCCAATTTTTTTCTGCTATGTAAAGAAGCCAAAGATTCTTATCTTGAAGGTAGCTTGAGGAGCCCTCAAAGAAGGAGTGAAATTTTAAACACGATTGAGCCTTATCTTGAACCTAACATGCTTGCTTGCTATTTGGACATTGCCGGTGATAAATGGTACAGTAACCTTCGCCTTTTTCAAACCAATCAATATCCATCCATCAACCCCTCGGAATCGCGGGTCATATTATAGAGGGTGAGGTACACTCTTGGAAACCTGACAGGGTACGTATATGGGAGAAAAACTGAAGTGGGTTGAGTTATACTCTAAGTGGTGCGACTACAAGTATTGTGGCAATGACACAATCTTCCAGTTCCTCAAGTTGTATCAGCCACATACCAAACAAATCGCTTTCAAGATGAAGGAGCAATACTTTAACTTTTGTATAAAGAAATTCTAGAAATGGAAAAGTCACTTGCTTTGTTTCATGCATTGGAAGACATTAAGTTTTGGAAAGGAGATGAAGAAGTGAGTGTTGGGTCTCCTGGAGAACGAGAAATTGCATCGTGACCTTTTCTTTGGGTAACCGTCATGTCCGGACCAGCTTGCGCACACCTTAACTAATTCTACGGGATACTTGCTACCTCCCACCAGCAATAAGTTCCAGGTAACTTTGTCCACCAAATGCATCATGACCCTTCTTGTCCATTATATCCAACTATTCAAGAGTGGCAAGGACTTCCAAAGAACTTGCCAGAAACATTAGATTATTATCCAACTATTGGGGAGCCATATTGTTGTCGGGGTAACCCTATTTAGTTTATTTATTTTGATAGGTAAAACACTAACAAAATGTCTTCAGTAGATTCAGTTTTTAAAAAAACTTAAAATTCAGTTTTGTGAAACACTTTATGCTCTCAGTACACCTAACCGTGCATTTTATCTGGAAAAGTGACTGTTTTTCTTCTTTTTTTTTTTTTATAAAACAAGCAGATGAAGAGGATTCAGCAAACATTAGTTCGAGATAAGTACACAAATTCATAAATTACTTAGGTTTCAGAAGATTCACGGCATCTCAACAACTATGTACTACTAAAAGTATCCTCGTTCCTATGTGTTTCTAAGTAGAAACTCAAAACCATAAAATCTGAAACATAATGCGAACTCGACACCACTAATTTACACCAAAAAGCAGTAAATATTACACAAAAGCAACAGCATGCAATTCAGATTTTGAGAAGAACAAAAGGGAAAAACTTTCAGATGAAACTGAGCAAAAGAAAGCTATACAAGAAAACATGGAGTCCGGGAATCCACAATATTCAAAATGCAGACATATTCCTCAAAAAAAATTAAAAAGAAGTAGATATCAGCGGGAATCCAAAACACCAACATATTAGTTAAAGACTTACCTTTAAAAAAAATGGAAGGGCGAATTGGCAGTGTTAGGGCTTTTTCCTTGGACGAACCTGAAGCCTCGAAATGGAGTTTGAGGTTGAATACCTTTGCTGAAGAAGAAGAGAAAAGTTTTGGTTTCAAGCTAGCGTTTGGTGTCCATTCCCAAAAAAAAAAATTGAAAAATATCTTTGGTTAAGTTTGGCTTGAAAATAAAAATGTATTTAGATATCAATTTTCAAATTATATTTATCAAATTTATTTTAGAAAAATATGCAATATGATTTATACCAGTAAATTTTAAAAATTATCACAAATATTCAACAATAACATTATTAATAATATTTATTATATTATCGCAAACTATAATCCTTTACATAAATAAATTTGATATAAAATTATCATTTTTATAATGAACTATATGATATACTATTAGATGACTGAAAAGACGAAGTAACATTATTACAAAATAATAAATTATTGGCTCTTTTATAAAATATAAAAATTTGTGGCAATTTAAAAAAAATATAATAGTGATATTTTGGTCCAAAATCAGCTATTTGGGATTTGGAATTTTGTAAAAATATAGCCAAAATCTATGGCCAAGCATGTATCTATCAAATAAAATCTAAATTTATTTTGACAAAATCTATAGCCAAAAGGTCCCAAGTCTCATGTTTCTGTTTCTTCGTGACCTAAAACAAAGTAATATAATCAACTCAAAAAGATCAGCAAATAATATCCTAACTTCACCTACGTAAGCAAAAGACCTTTGGCTTTCAATTTACATTACAAAATCCAATGGTTAGGGTATAATGGGGGATTTGCAGCGGTACTCACTTTTTATACCACCTTTTAACCGATACCCTGTTTTTAAAAATTATTGATTTCGTAACCAACTAATAGAAAATCCGTGTTAATATGACCATTATACCCCCTCCAAAATATATAAAAGTGCGTCTCTCCTCCGTATTCACATATTAAAATTACAGATCTCCTTCATATCTCCTCCATCAGTCAGTTCCTCCTGAGAACGCGTCTCGTATTCAAATTCCATATTGAAATTCAAATTCAAATACATTGTAAGTATTCAAATTCATCTCCAGAATTCAAAATAGTTTTTGAATTTTATGTTTTCTGGTTGTTTGACGAATTTCAGTGAAGGAATATAAATTCCATATTCAAATCAAATTCATCTCCAGAATTCAAAATGTTTTCTGATTAATTCACTGATTAATTCAAAATGTGTGATATGTTAGTAACATATTGCACTAAAAAAACTTCGGCCTAACAGCTGAAGTTTTTTATTTATTACTTAAAAACTTCAGAAGGAGCCTGAAATTTTACTCCTACACTGGTTAAATTAAAAATGATATTGCACTAAAAAAACTTCGGCCTAACAGCTGAAGTTTTTTATTTATTACTTAAAAACTTCAGCATATTTTCCTCCTACACTGCCTAAATAAAATCATATTGCACTAAAAAAACTTCGGCCTAAAAGCTGAAGTTTTTTATTTATTACTTAAAAACTTCAGAAAGAGCCTGAAGTTTTCCTCCTACACTGGTTAAGTTAAAAAATGATATTGCACTAAAAAAACTTCGGCCTAACAGCTGAAGTTTTTTTGTTATTACTCAAAAACTTCAGCA